ACATGTGAGCAGTCGGTGAGATTAACAGATGGGGTGCGTTAAATCTGATTTATCGAAAACACGTGTTACGCGTGGGTTTGCGGTACGCTGCTTCAGGATTGTCGTTATATGGGATTTATAATATGATTTTTCGGCTCTACACAATGGGACAATTATCGAACTTCTACAATACGTTTACTTCTGTCATCCCCACAGAAATATACACCAAATTAGTAGTCTCTTACTGAGATATATAGAATGGTGTACTGAGACTAGGAATATCAATAGACCAAAGAAAGAAATGAATTTGGAATGTCTAAATACAACATTAAATAAATATCTAGCATGTCGGTTTTTAGGAAATGCAAAAAACCTCTGTGAACAGTCGGTCACAGATATAATACCTCAAAACCTTATGTCGCATATGTTTCGTGATGTTCATAAAGACAGATTTGTGAGTGTCAGATGAAGCAGTGAAATTATGGTTAGAGCACTGTGGCTGCCCATATACTCTGAAGGCGAAGAACTTTTGGCACCCCGTTTAATAAGTACTTAAAGAAACGCCATATGGCTATCTTGTTCGTACTCTGAAGTTTATTTATACAAAATCTATATAGTACTCAGTATTCATGCTATGCAAAAGGATACATCATTCTGCTTTCAGCATCCGCATGTGCAAATACAACGCAACGCAGCAAAATAATCATTGCGTAATACCCATAGAAAGCAAGAGAAAACACTGTAAGGAATAAGTATTCATAAGCGTATGAATTAAGTACTGTATTAGCGTTTCTCTGCACAAGCCAGTTCTCTGCACTCAGAACGATAAAGTTTCCTGATGTAGTCCAATTAGAAGAAGAGTAAACTGTTAAATCTGCATGAAATGATAAGTAATATCCTGCAAATCCGTTCAGCAAAAGAGACGCGTGTCATAAGCAATCTGCACAATGGTCTTAGCCACGAGGCCCTACCGCAATATATGAATAAAAAATCGAATCATTGCATGTTTAAAAAACAATCATACTTTCTTTTTTAATCCATGGAAGAAGACAACGGATTGCAAAGCGGATATAAAATGCTCTATTCAGCGATGTTTCGACACCGCCCACCAAGATAATCAGAGAAAATATACACAACACGAAACTGCATAATGTTAACAGAAACAAGGGATAATGTCACTGAAACCTCATATACCCGCCTAAATGTTTCAATTAAAATCTTACAGCCTAATTAGCATACTTCGCCCTGATTACGACACGGGTGTGGGGTGTCGAAACATTGACGAGTAGCAAATTTCACATCGTCCCAGTAACTTGCAGTTTTGAACCATGAGGATAAAAGGAATCAAAATGAATACTTAGTGTACTTCGCTGTTCGTTAGAGCTGAGGCCTTCAGTAGTAAATTACTATGAAATAATTTGACGGAAATTTGGTAGAAGATTAGTTCGAGACTACTGGAGATCTGCCTAAGTCTTATGCCATTGGACTCGCAGCGGAACAGCGGCAAGAAAATACGAAGTTGGTGAAACTTACTGCTGAACAGCCATCTTCAGCAGTTCCTCGCATTTCAGCAGTAAACAATAGATATTTTCCACATCAAGAAGGACGCATTTGAGCTTTGTATATCCGCTGCTAATACGTAAAGACCTTTCGAAGTGTAACGACAGGCAACCTTTCGCGTTGGCATCCGGATGACACAGTTGAATCATTGGCCGCGGTGAGTTAGCGGACACAACCTGAATCCTGCCCAAGGCGTGGTCGAATTGAGCTAAAAAGCAAACAACGTCAACGAGTTGTAAAACTAGCAAACAGGTTGGTAATCGTACGGGGAACGTAGACCCGGGATTCACCATTTTCAGCGTGCTCGTGGTCGTCACACGTTGAATTCAAAACCACACGATCCAGGCTATTTTCAGCGTTTCTCTTCTTGCATAGCATCTTAAACAGAAAAGTGGAGCATTGTACAAAACAGAAATAACAATGACCATGGCTACCGTGTAATAACTGTCGCCGCTGCATAGACAATCGTTCTGCAGCTGGACGAGGGAAATGCGAATCAGCCAAGACCGCTCTCGCCGGGTCATCAGCTCGGCGTACGGATCAAACGACCTCATTCGCGACAGCCGGTTGAACTCAGCGAAATTTTGAGGGTCACAGAAGAATGCGAAGTCGGCTCTATGACCATACTTCGACTGAAAATCCCTGATCGCGCCGCAATCCATGCCGGAAGTTGGAGGACCGAACCTGCAATTCAATGTTTACAAGTGAATTTAAACAACGACATTTGTTGGTTAAACCGAAATTAAATCGCTATTAAGTTCAGCCCTAATCCCTGAGAAAGCTAGCGCCACAATGACTACCACGTATTATCTGTTGACTAAAAATTCAGGTGAAATATGTTCAGACAGATGCGAATGTTTCAAACTGCACAGGAAGCACGCATCAACAAAGTCGTTAAACACAAGCTTACAACTTCAAGCGGATGGCTAAGCTGAACGTAGAGGGAGGGGTAGTGACATCGCTGACACTAATGACTGAGAGAAAAGGGTTCGACTGATGAGCGTGCCATAAATTTATCTTAATAAGCGCAAATTCTCCCAAATCAGATGCAAGCAAGATGCTACCAGTTGCAAAAGCGATGGTAAAATAAAAACTACACAGTAAACAAGCAGAACAGAAAACGAAACTTTTGTATGAATCTGTTATAACTTACAAAACTTTACTTACACTTAAGGATATATATGGGCCGTTGTACACATGTTGTTGACCGCAGTGGACATAGGTGGAGGGAAGGTATTACACCCTTGTCCTCTGCACCGCTAAATAATCCATGTGTACGAGTTTGACTTGCCATGAATGGCATATGCATAAACCCACTCAACGGGTAAGGAGAGCCACGGTGATTTGCTTCATCGTTGAAATATGAATCTTGGCTGGCAGCTAACCGTCATAATGGTTCCAGATCACGTAAAAGAACTATTGTATGTAAAAAGATAGACGAAAAGTTTGTAACCGATGGAATGTCGGCCTT